TTGAAATCTTCTCTTCAGCTCTTTATCTTGTCATTTCTTCCCTTTGCTTTAGCTACTCTCCATTCAAGGGCAAGTCTCAGAGTCTTTTCTGACATCCATTTTGGTCTTTTCTTCTTCTCTCGTCTTTTTAATGACCTCTTGCTTTCTTCATGGATAATGTCCTTGATGTCATAGAACAACTCTTCTGGTTTTCGCTCACTGGTGTTCAGTGCATCAGATCTATTCTTTAGATGGTCTCTAAATTCAGGAGGGATATATTCCAGGTCATATTTTGGTTCTTGTGGACTTGTTTTAATTGTCTTCAATTTCAACATGAACTTGCACAGGAGCAGTTGATGGTTTGTTCCACAATCAGCTCCTAGACTTGCTTGGGCTGAAGATATTGAACTTTTCCATCGCCTCTTGCCACAGATGTAGTCAATTTGATTCCTGTGTACTCCATCTGGCAAAGTCCACATGTATAGCCACCGTTTGCATTGTTGAAAAAAGGTATTTGCAATGAATAAGTCTTTGGTCTTGCAAAATTCTATCATGCAATCTCCAGCATTATTTCTGTCACCAAGGCCAAATTTTGCAACTACTGATGATTCTTCTTTGCTTCTGACTTTTGCATTTCAGTCACCAGTGATAATTAATACATATTGATTGCATGGTTTGTCAATTTCACTTTAGAAGTTAGTAAAAGTCTTCAATTTCCTCATCTTTGGCTTTCACAAGATGAGTCAAGAATTACATAATTTGCCCAAAGTTGGACAGCTAGTAAATGGCAGAGGTGAGATTCAGACCATGTTCCACCCAATGACATTTCCCCTTATACCTAATCCTCTCTGCTTAAAGATTCTTTAGGAATCTGAGAAAGCCAAGGGATAACTGATGTTACTAAGATATCAGGAGCAAGGGCCAGCAGTATTCCTGCTACCCAATTAGGAGGAAGGTGAGCCATGTTTTTACTGTGTTTTGGGCACAATGCTAAGTGCTTTTGCCTTCCTTAGTTCATTTATTCTTCACAAGGGAAATATTTTCCTATCTCTTTTACATATAAGGAAATGGAGGACTAGAGAGATGAGGAAACTTGAGGAAAGTCACATGCTAGTAAGATATGAATCTCTGAGTTTGAATCCCAATGATTTCGATGCTATTATAAGTCATTGCTCCTCATTTTAGTCCTTTTCTTTGGGGGAGGAATATGCAGACAGCACAAGAAAACAATAGGGAACTCAAGTAAATGCTGTGAATAGAGACAATCTAGTCTAAGACTCAAGAGACTTGTTCTGGATTCTGGTTCACTGCTTTAGTATCAGACAAATACTTAACTTTTCCGCAGTTTCTTCATAGGTTAAGGAAAAAAAAAAAAAAAAAGGAGGGGTTTGAATTAGGTAATCCAAAGACCCTTACAACATTCCTGGGTAGGACAAACAGTTTGCCTTGGACTAGTAACCTAAAGGTTGGTTCAAACCCACCCAGCAGCACCATGGAAGAAAGGCCTGGCAATTTGCTTCTGCGAAGATTAAACTTGTTTGTGTCGTGTGGATTTTGATTTATTGTGACCATATAAGACAGAATAGAACTGCCCTATGGAGTTTCCTAGGAGCTCTGGTAGTGTAGTGCCTAAAGGCACTTGACTGCTAACCAGAAGGCTAGCGGTTCAAACCCACCAGCCACTTCTCGAAAGGAAGATGGGGCAATTTACTTCCATAGTGATACTGCCTTGGAAACCCAAGGAGGGGTCGCTTTGAGTCACGTCCGACTCGACAGCACATAACAACAACAATAACATGGAGTTTCCTAGGCCATAATCTTAATAGAAGCAGACTGCCACATGGTAGGCTTGAACTTCTGATCTTTCATTGAGCAACCCAGTTCTTAACCACTGCGCCCCCAGGTCTCCTTCTGTAAGACTACTGTCAAGTAAACCCTATGGAGCAGTTCTCCGTAACACACGCCGTCGCCCTGAGTCTAAAACGACTCCGCTTCAACAGATTTGAGGTTTTTTTTCTCTTGTAAAATGTCTTCCAGTCCTAAAGTTTTGTGTCTCTGAATTCAAACAGGGCACTGACAGAATTCTTCTTCTACAAGTGTGACACCCTTTTGAGAATGTGATGGTTCAGGGTCAACCGTGGTTAGCTCTCTAACTCGCTGTTCCTGGAAATGGTTGGTTTCGGTGCAGCATGGAGTAGAATTAGGGATGTTGTTGTTGTTGTTATGTGTCATCGAGTCGGACCCGACACATAGCGACCCCTCCTTGGGTTTCCAAGGCAGTATCACTACGGAAGTAGATTGCCCAACCTTCCTTCCGAGGAGTGGCTGGTGGGTTTGAACCCCCAGCCTTCTGGTTAGTAGTCAAGTGCCTTAGGCACTACGATACAGGAGTTGAAAGGGAGTCAAATGCCAGCTCTCGGTCATTAGACACCCTCGTCTGTTGGGAGTCTGGAAACTGACCGCCGCACGGGTTTAAAAAGAAAACTAATGAGCGCCGTGAGAGTGTGGAACAGGTGGCCGGAGAGAATCAACTTATGGGGCTTGGGTGACTAACCAGGCGAGGCGCTCAGGGGCTCGGACGCTTTCTGCTGGTCGCGGGCTTATCGGCGGTAACCCGTGCGGCGCGGCCCCCGCTGGCAGGTCGCCCTGTGGGCGGCGGCCGCTGCGGGCGCCCCCGGCGGCGAGGGCGGGGCACTCGGCCCCTCGCACGCGCCTGGCCTGGGAGCGAGCCCGGCGGGCGACTGGAGCTGCTCCTGTGGGCTGGGGCCTTAGCCCCGGTGGCTTCGGGAGGCATCGCTGGGGCCAGACGTGCGTGGGGGCGGGGGCGAAGCCCTGCGAGCAAAGTCCAGGCCCCTGGACCAAGCCCCGCGCGCGCGACGCCTCTAGGCGAGAGACGCGCGAAGTCTGAGGTGAGGCAGGCCAGGCCGCCCTGCTGCGGCAGGAAACTTTGGCGGCGGGGGGCATCGGGAGGGGGAAGCGGGACTTTACAACTCGCGGTCCCTGGGCCGGGAGCCCCGTGCGCTCGGCTCTGGCCCTTCGGACGAGCGCCGTGAGGAGACTGACGGATCGCCCTCCTGGAACTGGGTGCACTTGGACCTGAGGCTGTGGTTTCTCTCCAGGCTGAGATGGATCTTGAGGCGGGAAGGAACGGCACAGCCCCGCTCTCCAGAGGCGACTTTGAGCTGGGCAACAGCAGGTACATCAGCAGCAGCCCCCCCCGCTTTCCCGTTACATGTGAAACAACAAGGCCAGATTCGGTCTTAGAAAGATGCTGAGAAAATCTGTTGATGCCTTTAGGTCTTGCAGGCTTCTTTGAAGGGTTTTCTCTGAAATTCTGACCTTCGAACGGAAGTTTTAAGGGAATGTCCTCGAGGCTCCTTTTGGAATTGGGTCAGGAAGAAGAGCTTGTTAAAGTGCTTGTTTATCTCTGTGCAGAGGAATTGGACAAGTATTTGTATTGTATAATAATATTCTTAGTATTATATATATGGGGCTCTGGTGGCCTAGTGACATTTGGCTGCTAATCAAAAGCAGGTGATTCGAACCCACCAGCTGCTCCGCGGAAGAAAGATGAGGCAGTCACCTTCAGTAAAGATTTACAGTCTTGGAAACCCACTGGGGGTCAGATGAGTTGGAATTGACTCGATGGCACTGAATTTGTTTTGGTTTCTTTGTTTATATTTCATAACTTAAATTTCTTTGCAAATATTTTTCAAGTACATCAGTGGATTTTTCATGTTTACAGAGCATCAGGCTTTTGCTGTTGATGGCTGTGCTTTTCAACAAGGTTAAAGAATTAAAGAGCCCCATCCCTGTGCCCCTCCACTTTCTATTTCCCTTCCTCCTAGCAGGGATGGATTACCCAATAAGCAAAGTAAGCATGGGTTACTTGTGCTTACTTACTGATCTGTAGTGAACAGTTTCCCATGTTTGCACCTGCACGTAGGTATCGCTGGCATCTCTCTCTCTCTTCCAACCCCACAGCACCTTCCCATAGAATCTAAGCCTCTTTTCAAATTTACAATCCCTGACAGGGACTGAGTACCCAGTAAGCAAGGTAAGCACACACTTACTAGTGCTTACTTACTAACCTGTAGTGAACAGTTTCATATGTCTTTTACCTCATCAAGGACTGTAAATTTGAAAAGAGGCTTTGCTTCTGTGGGAAGGTTCTGGGAGGTTGGGAGAGAGGTGCCAGTCATACCTTGAAGCATAATTTTTGATGTGGTTAAAAAAATGTGAATTTGTTCACTACAGATGATCATATAAGTACAAATAAGCCTGTGTGTACCTTGCTTATTGGGTAACTTGACACTGTCTCCTTGCCTCACCCTTCCCTGTCCTCCTGAGGCCAGGCCCTTTCCTTATTTCTCCCCTCCAGGAGATGAGATGGGAAGGGGATACTTGAACTGCTTCCATAACCTGTGATTCCAAATCCATTTTTGTTCAAGTGCAAGGGAAAAACCTCGGCACTTTCTTTGCTTGCGCCTCTTTCTCCCTGCACTGGCCTACAGGCCCTACTACCAGAAGAATCCGTTAGTCAATGTGTGTGTCTCTTCTTCCTCTTTCACTGTGGCAACAGTGAATCATTTTTGCCTTCAGCCTCAAATAGTTCATGAGGCTGTTATAGTCTATAAATTCGTGTCAGGGCACCCAGAACTAATTGACCTGTGTCATCAAAGGATCACTCAGAGGGACAAATTTATCAAGTTCTGTAGTTTGTCCTCAAGCTGCAGGGGGCCTGATTAGCTAACTGAAAGTATGCCTATCTGATGTTCAAGCTGAAGCATTATCTTAGCCTGTTAACTTCTTCATGTAGTGATATTGCTGTTTTCCTTCTCAGAACTGTGGTATTTAATGATAGAAATTTTAGTTTTACCAGATAGAATTGGAAAAGGGATGGATAGTATTATTGCTGATAGAAAAATGTGGTTTTCATCAGCTGCAATTAGGCTGGGATTGACTGTGAATCTATAAATAGGTGGCATTTTCATGAAGAAGGCTATTTCTGTTTTGGACTGGCTGAACATATGATTAGTGTACAAAGGAGCTGCCCCTGCAAAAGTGTGATAACACTCCAGAAACCAGGGAAGTCCTCGGAAATATACCTCACAGGCTTGTGTTGCGAAGAAGAAAATCATTCAAAAGAGAAGGGTAGAAAGTTAAGAATAAGTTAAAACTTTAAGATATGAAATTAAGTATAATTTTATATAAAATAAGAAGGCTAGAAAGTTAAGAATAAGTTAAAACTTTAAGATATGAAATTAAGTATAATTTTATATAAAATACAGTTTTTATGAAAGCATACTAGTGATTGTACATTCAAAGGAGTTAAGCCTTCTTTAGCATCTAGGGCAAATTTAGAGATAGGAATATGCTTGTTCCAATAATGCTGCTTTTGCCTGTGGCAGATTTTTTGGAATATATTAGTGGCAGTGTTTCTCCTTTGAATATTAGAAAATACTCTAAATAATTTGAAATCAAGGTTTATGAATAAACTTTTAACACCTACCTTGATATTTAAGCTAGATAAAGGCATCCTAGGTCAAAAATCACTGTCCTCGTAGAGTTAACATCATTGTATAGAGGGCAAGACAGAAATAATACACATACTAAATAAGCAAACTATAGAGAATGTTTAAAGGTGATAGATACTATGGGAAAAAAATCAAAGTTAGGAAACAGGACTTCAAGTGGGAAACCAAAAACAGAACCCTCTGCCATCGAGTCAATTCCAACTTACAGTGATTGTATAGGACAGAGTAGAACTGCCCTATAGGGTTTCCAAAGCTGTAAATCTTTATGGAATCAAACTACCTCATTGTTCTCCCCTGGAGCAGCTGGTGGGTTCAGACTGCAAATGCCTTAACCACTGTGACACCACAGCTCCTTTGCTAGTGGGAAGTAGTTAGCAATTTTAAATAAAGTAGTAGTAGTTGTTGTTGTTGTTATTTGCCGTGGTGTCGGCCCCGACTCATAGCGACCCCCCCTTGGGTTTCCGAGGCAGTATCACTACGGAAGTAGGATTGCCCTAGGTCTTATTGAGAAGGCATTATTGGAGCACAGAATTGAAAGCAATGAGAGGAGAGAACTGTGTGTGTGTATCTGGGAGAAGAGCATTCCTGGCAGAGGGAACTGACAATGCATTGAGCTTGAGATGGGAACATGTTCGGTGTGTTCAAAGAACAGCAGAGAGGTCAGGGTGGTAGAGCAGAGTAAGCAGGGAGTGGAGTGGGAGATGTGGTCAGAGAGATAACTAGGAGATATATAGGGCCTTAGAGGTCAATGTAAAGTCTTAGGCCTTTACTCTGAGAAAAAATGGGAGCCATTGCACGTTTTTGAGCACAGGAGTGACACACTATGACTTGTGTAATAAGTCATAATAAAATAAAAACTTGATAAATGGTTACGCTTGCTTCTGTGTTGAAGATAGAGTGAAGCAAGCATAAATGGAAGTACAGAGACCAGGCAGGAGGCTGTTCTGAAAATCCAGGTGAAGATGGTGGTTTAGATCTGGAGACAGCAAAGAAAGTGGTGACAAGTAATTGAATTCTAGATGTATTTTGAATGTATTTTCTGACTCCATTCCCCACAATCCTTTAGAAGAGTGGTCTTTACCAATTTTAGACCTATATGTATTCTTTTTTCAGCAGAAGAATTTAATTTATTTGGCAGACATTGTTAACATATTAATCTTCCCACTGAGGCTGAGCTCTGTAAGAAAGTTGACGATTTCACTTTTATCTATATATCCTTGTAGTACCTTGAACAATTACTTCTGCACAAGGTGGCTGCCTTGCAGTGTTTGTTAAACTGGATAATTTTGGCAATTTATGTATGTCACTTTTTAATATTTGAAAATACTACAAAAAACAAACCAAACCCACTGCCATCAAGTCAGTTACTACTCATAGTGACCCTTTTATGGCAGAGTAGAACTGCCTCATAGGGTTTCCAAGGCTATAAATCTTTATGGAAGCAAACTACCTCATCTTTCTCCCACAGAGCAGTAGGTAGGTTCAAACCACCAACCTTTTGGTTAGCAGCCAAATGGTTTAGCCACTATGCCACCAGAGCTCCTCTGAAAAATACGTTTCTCTAGAAAATACTATAATAGTTTATCTTTGGCTGGGCTCTCTAAAGAAGCAAAACCAGTGAAGTATATATATCTATATCTGTATCTCTATATATATAGAGAGAATGAGAGAAATTTATCAGAGGGAAATGGCTTGCACAGTTGTAGAGGCTGGAAAGTCCCAAGTTTATGGGTCAAACATCAAGCTGGAGGTTTCTTTTGACTCACACAACTGCAGGAGCTGATAAACCCAAGATTGACAGACAGTATAGCAGGTTGCTGGTTTTGGTGGGTAGCAAATCCAAAATTGGCAAGTAAAGTGACAGTTTGTTGGCTCACAGGCTGTAAAGGGAACAATCCCAAGATTGGCAGGCAATATGGCAGGCCACTGGTTCAGCTCTAAGAGCCAGAGTTAGATTGAAGATCCAGATCCAGCAGAAAGCCAGAGAATGTTCTCAGGATGTCCATGTAGATAGATATCAGAAGCAGGTCACACCCCAGAGGAAACTCCCTTTCAAGTGACTGGCTACTCATAGAATATCTATGGAGGTGATTACATTACATCAGATCTCATTATAGGGGATGACTACATCACAGCTGCTCAAACCACTTAGACTCATGGTCCAGCCAAGTTGACACACAACCTTAATTATCAAAGCCCACCCCTTGTCAACTTGGGAATTTCCCATCTCCTTAAGGCACACATACTTCTAAATAACAACAGTTATAAGATCATACTTGAGCCTAATGTGATACAACTAACATGTATACAAACAAAAACACATTAGCCCTGTTTACATCTTATATTTTATAACTGAAGAAAACAAAAATAATTGATGCATACGTCCAATGAATAAATGCTCATAACAATCACAGTCCTTGTTTCTGCAACTGGTCATATGGTCATACCTGGTATTTAGAACTACTTTCTTCCACCACTCATTCCATATTCCCCTTGCCCTCAGCAAGCATCTCAGGTGGCTATGGTTCTTTATCTGGTGAAGTGACCCAAACCTTTATTCCTGAAGAATCTGGGCCAGTAGTAGTCATATCAGAATTGGGTTGCTGTAGTTTTCCATTGACTTTAATCACAGGGCATGGTATAGTACTAAATGGCATCCTAAGGAATCTCCTGTATTCTGGACATATTCTTCTTTATCTCCATTATTTAATATCAATCCATTTTCCCCTTAGTGATCAGGATCCATCATACCGGACAATATAGAAACTCCAGAGGAATAAGGAGTCTAAAATGACCAGGTGGCAACCTTAACTTCCAGTTCAGTAGAATTAATATTATGTCTCCAGTGGGGGGAATGTTCCTCCCTTTGGGACTAAGACCTCCAGACCCACAGAGCATTGGGTTTCAGGGACAGAAGGCAAAATTTTTTTGAGTGGGTCACTATGGGTAATAGTAAGTGATACTACTCTCATTTCCACCCCTTGGTTCCTGGGCCCATGAATCCTGGCTTTTGGAGAAACAATACCATATATTGAATATTGATTTAGAGCATATACAGCATCCTGGAGAACATTGCTCCAACCCTACAAGGTATCGCCACCTAGCTGGTGCCATAATTGTTTTTAGAAGGCCATTCCATCTTTCTGTCATGCCAGCTGCTTCAAGATGATGGGGAACATGGTAAGACCAGTGAATTCTGTGAGCGTAGGCCACACTTCATTTGCTGTGAAGTGAGTCCCTTGATCTGAGGCAATGCTGTGTGGGATACCATGACAATATCAAAGCGTTCTGTAACTCCATGGATAGTGGTTCTGGCAGAGGCATTGTGTATAGGGAAAGGAAATCCATATCCAGAGTGAGTATCTATTCCAGTAAGAACAAAACACTGCCCTTTCCATGGTGGAAGTGGTCCAATATAATCAACCTGCTCCCAGATCGCTAGCTGATCACCCTGAAGAATGGATCCGTACTGCAGACTCAGTGTTGGTCTCTGTTGCTGACAAATTAGGTACTCAGCAGTGACTGTAGCCAGGTCGGCCTTAGTGAGTGGAAGTCCATGTTGCTGAGCCCATGTGTAACTTCCTTCCCTGCCACCATGAGCCCATTGGACAATGACAGGAGTGGCTAGGAAAAGAGGATGACTGGTTTCCACAGAACATGTCATCCTGTCCACTTGATTGTTAAAATCCTCCTCTGTGGAGGTCTCCCTTTGGTGGACATTCACATGAGACAAATGTCTTCACTTCTTTGGTCCATTCAGAGGGATTTATCCACATACCTCTTCCCCATACCTCTTTGTCACCAATTTTCCAATCATATTCCTTCCAAGTCCCTGACCATCCAGCCAAACCATTGGTCACAGCCTACAAATCAACATACAGTCACATATCTGGCCGTTTTTCCTTCTAGCCAAAGTGAGCAACAAATGCACTGCTTGAAGTTCTGCCCATTGGGGGGACTTCCCTTCACCACTGTCCATTAGGGAGGTCCCAGAAAGGTGATACAGTGCTGCTGCTGTCAACTTTCGAGTGGTGCCTGCATAGTGTGTAGAACCATCTGTAAATCAGGCACGAGTTTTCTCTTCCTAAGTCAACTGATCATAAGGAACTCCCCATAAGGTCATAGGGATAGGGAAGAAAATGTGACTAGGGTGGAGACCATAGGCATTTGGGCCCCTTGCTCATGTAACTTACTTGTGCCTTCAGGTTCTGCTTGAATCCAATCTCTGATATACCACTTCCATTTAATGATGGAGTGCTGCTGTGCAAGTCCAACTTTAGACTCTGGGTCAGACAACACCTAGTTCATGATGGGCAGCTCAGGCTGCATGGTGACTTGGTGGCCCATGGTTAGGTTTTTGGTCTCTGCTAAGGCCCAGTAACAAGCCAAAAGCTGTTTCTCAAAAGGAGAGTAGTTTTCTGCAGAGGATGGCAGGGCTTTGCTCCCAAATCCTAAGAGTCTGTGCTGTGATTCACCAATAGGGCCTTGCCAAAGACTCCAAACAGCATCTCTATCCACCACTGACACGTCAAGCACCATGGATCAGCTGAATCATATTGTCCAGTAGCAGAAGAGTTGGCACAGCAGCCTGAACCTATTGCATAGTTGAATATTATAACTGTTCAAATTTTATGTTCAACTAACTGAAAAACATACCAATTTTTAATTCAAACAATTATATTTTTATAGCAACCAACACAAGAAAAAAATGAAAAAAGTAAATTTGGTTGGACCATTAACATTGGTAAGTATGAAATATTAAATGTGAATAATACTACTTTCATTCATATTTGGTGTTTTGAATCAGAAGCTACAGAGAAAGTACTTTAAGATTATAAACAGGCAGCAGTATCTTGTCCCTGCTGTACCTATGCTGTGTTAGATTAATTTATTGTAGTCAACAACTCGCATTGTCAAAATGGATGATGAAACAGATAGTGACAGTTTGGCTATGAAACAGGGCAGAACTAACTGATATACAAAGAAATGGGAATTAAGGCCTGTGTTAGTACCATCATGCAAACTAACTGATTTCAGAAAACTGCATCTCCACATTTGTTTTACAATAAAATAAAACCAAATTTTAACTTAAACTTGCATATGAAAATGTTGACTGTTAACTATGGAAAATTTAAACACTAGGAAATATATGTTTCACATTTAGCTTCCAGGAACATTTATTAAATACGGGGTAATTATTGCAACACAGTGCGACTCACTGCCATCGAGTCGAGTCGATTCCAACTCATAGCAACCCCTCCTTAGGTTTCCGAGGTGATATCACTACAGGAGTAGATTGCCCCACCTTCCTTCTGAGGAGTGGCTTGTGGGTTTGAACCGCCAACCTTCTGGTTTGCAGTCAAGTGCCTTAGGCACTATGCCACCAGAGCTCCTGCTT